TTTGTGAGACGTTGGGAAGCAAAAGTTTGAACAAGCGGCCCCAGAGTGGCTGCGATGCGCCGCAGCATGTCCAGGTGATCCCTCCCAGGGAAAAGCACCTCACGGTGCGCTTGACAAACAGGAGCAGAAGAACTCTACCACCTGGTTCTGGAAATCAGGGGATTGATCCCCATTGTAGTCCCTATAACGGTAGTTCATTCCCCCGTTCCCTTCTAAGCATCAGGAAGTCGAAAGGGCCTGCCTCCCGGGCAAGCAATTCAAAGTGGATGCAGCCCACTGACCACAGATCTACAGCCTGCAATGGGTTTCTTAAAACTGGATGATTCAATGGGGAAAGGGCACCCTAGAGTTGCTGAGGCTCTCATCTTTGAGACTGTGGAATAAACACGAAGAACTTGAATGAAAGAAGAATGTCAGTCTGAACAGCCAGGAACTGGCGCTGAGGATAGAAAGCTCACCTTACCAGAGTCAGCCGTGAAGCAGCTCCGGGCCTCGAAGTATCCGGAAGGCAGCAACCTGAAATGATGCGGCGATAGGAACGCGATATGGAGTGCAGAGATTTCCAGTTTCTCTGGGCTCCAAGCATCAGTTCTGGTGCCCGGTACCATCGTGTCACAACATAGTCGGTAAGCTCCTCCTGAAGCAGAAGCGGTATGTACTGTTCAAGGTGCAGGAGTCTCCGTTGAAACTTGCATGGACCGGCCTCTGCGTTGGAACGGCCTCGAGCAAGGCCAAAGTCGGCAATTCTCAGGGTGCAGTCCTAGCATACAAATAGCCCAGAGATGTCTGACACCCATTGACTGGAGGTCTTCCTCGTTCACAAGGATGTTGCTCGGCTTCAGGTCACGGTGAACAACTCCAGCAGAGTGTAGGTACTGCGGATAGGTGCAGTTCTTGCAAAGCCCTGGGAAGTCTGTATAGAGACTTGACGTTGCCTTCAGTCCCCTGAGAATTTGGCAGATGAAAGCCTCATCAGCACACGTCTTTCGAGAAGGCGCGAAGCTGCACAATGTTGCGGGGCTCATGGGACCAGCCTGTGTGTGGGACTCCAACAGCCTCATCCTGGAGTAGATCACCTGCTCGCGGGCCCAGAAAAACATACCCGAGCCTGGGCGGCTCCTGAGGCAGTGGAGCTCCAACACTTAACAGTCGAGGACAATGCCCCTTTCTTGCTCGTCTGCTAGGCCCTTACTGCCACCGTTGCATCACTGCTGCTCGCAAGCTATGGGATACCTGTACTGTAGCTGTAGCATTCACTTGACGAAGTGCCGCCCCTCTGATTCCCGGGTATGCGTGGTTGGGCACACTCCTTGCTAGCTTTCATAGCGCAGTAAGGCCAGTCTCCTACCTTGTCCATGACACGTTGTGTACGAAAGGTGGTTCTCCCATACCCTTCGTTCCCTCTCCGATGCAAGGCACAAGAGCGACACGAAAAGATAAGTGAAGGTACATGCAAGTCCTTCCTTCTCGTGGCTCATCTTCTACGTAGGCGAAAAGACTTTCAAGGCTGCATGGGACAAGGCTTCTGGTTGCTGTTGCAGGTGCATCCTGTGCCGCATGTCATGCTGGAATGCTGCAATACTGTTTCCAGACGTCTTTTGAGGCCAACACACGATGCAAATCGAGGTGCAAGTAAGGCCTGCGGGCTGCAAACATAGGAATCCAAATGCCGCAGACTTGCCGGGGCACGGGCATAACTATATACACGTCATCGAAATCTGGATGTGGCACAGGCAGCAAATCCAGTAACTGCCCGGATTTGGGAAAGCAACACGTGCAATGCAACCTCCAACAAGCTGTAGTCGCCAACTTGCCTTCAGGAGATTTGGGTGCCGCAGAGCGGCAAGCAGCCGAATCCTTGACATGCACGGCTCCGCTTCAGGCAAGAAAAGCACATCTTGAAGAGCTTTGCTTAAGTTCCTGGCTCCCGCAGTACTCTCTTTCCACACAGCGGATCCTCTTCACAAAACGCAGGGCAGCAAGATGCAAGCGTCAGGCACAAAAAAAAATACATCAGAGCTCTACGGAGCGGAACAGCATGGTGCGTCTCTTGCGCATGACCAGACAAGGGAAATCCTTCGTGAAGTCCCTGATGAGCTTCACAGCCACCTGCAGCTGATCCGCTGCCGTCTGACACCGTGCCGGTGGCGAAGGCCTGTGATCCATTAGTCGAATCGTCGCACAGATACACCTGGCACACGTCCATTTCGCAAGCTGCTGTAAAGGTTCTGGAAGTGCACCTCACCGTAAGCCCCGCTGCCCAGTTTCTGCACGGCTGTCCTGAGCAATGTAAGCGAAAAGTTAACAAGAAGCGTAGCCCCATCACTTCCAAACTTCAGGAGCTGACAAATGCGGCGGCAATTCAAGATTTCCATCAACCTGCTCCTGCAGCCGAGATCGCAGTGCAAGTGCAGTCAGTGGTAGTTACGTTCAAGCTTGTGGCAACGTACAAGCACCCTTGCGACGTCCAGCAGCATTTTTAAACAAGGCCAGCTCGAAGGACCTCAGTGGCAAACGGCCTGTCGTGCTTTTGAAAAAGCAACGTGACCAGCTCGAACGGCTGAGACAACACCTCTGTCAAGGACCTACCCAACGCATAAACATCCCGTCTGGAATCATATTGGCCGGAGAATGTCTCTGGGGGAGCACTATGCGAGTGTACCAGCCAGAGATTTTCTTCGCTCAAGGGAATCCAAATAGCACACGGAATCGAAATCAATTAACTTGAACGCAACATCCTCACAGGCCGTTGTGCACGCATCGTCAGCCAGACATACGTTGTGCTGCTTGACGTCGCGATGCACAACATGCAAAATCTCGAGATGGCTCAGGGCCATGATCATGTCTGTCGCGAGCTTGCCACCTGCACGCTGGTCCAATCTAGCGTGGATGGTGGCATTCCAGAGGTTCCCCCCGAGCCGCTCGAGAACCAGGATCGCAATGTACTGGCCCCAGACCTCATACAACACCTCTAACGCTGGGGCCCTTGGCTTTCGAGTCTAAGCCTGCTTGCTCAAAGCAAGACAGCGCGTGACGCCAGTCCATAATGCAAAAGCCAATCCTGGGGGAATTCGAGGGCGAGACGAATTCGAATTCGAATTCGAGATCGCATGACGCGAGGCGAGAAAGCAACACAATTAGCTATCAACGGACGGGGTCGGAGGGGGGCGGATTCAAGATCAAGTTCGTCGCAAGCTGGCTGTTTCGGGGGGTGGGTTCGAATCAAAAATAGCGCTCGGCAGCAGTTTATTAAAGGCGCTATAAGCGAACACGGGGGAGTTCGACTTCGACTTCGAGATTGGATGTTCCTGGAGGAGGGGGAGGGGGGATTCCAGTTCGAGTTCGTGACAGAGTTCGGGCCCGGGAGCGCGGGCTCGAGTTCTAGTTCAAGATTCGAGCGTGTGGTCAAATACGAGTTCGTCGAAAGCTGTTTCCTTTTTTCGGTGAGGGGGGGAGGGGAGGGGTGGGCGAGGTAGAAATCTCGCATTCGAGTTGGAGTTCGATTTTTTTTGCGGGGGCGGGGGGGAGTTGGAGTTAGGGTTCGGGAGTTCGAATTCGAGTTTGTTGAAAGCTGCTTTCTGGGGAGAGGTGGAGGAAGGGCTCGAGTTCAACTTCACGTTTGGGTTCGTCAAGAGCTGCATGTGTTTTTGGTATTTTGGGTGATGGGAATTCGAGTTAGATTTTGTCAAAATGCAGGGGGGCTCCAGCTCGAGCTCAGGTTAGTCGAGAGCTGTGTGTGTGTTTTGGCGAAGTGGTGCGGCCCTTTCGAGTTCGACTTTGAGTGCTTGTGGGGTTTGCAATCCAACTTGCGAGCTCTCTTCTGAGCTGTGAAACTGAGGCCCCGAGCATGAGATGCATCCTGACAATGTTCTCGTGCTCGGACGTCTTCGAGATGGAGGCTTCTGTGTATAAAGCACTCGCCTCATCAATGTGCTTCACTGCCTTGATCACAACAGGATTGTTGTAGTATGTGGCAAGGCTGACGCGTGCAAAAGCCCCTTCGCCAATCCTTGCCAGCACAGCTAGCCCTTGATGCGTGTCGACAACAGTCGGCTTGTCAGCTTCGCTGCATAGAGATTCTACAGGCAAGAAAACATTGAAGTCCGTGCATGTGAGCCAACGGTTGTCATCGCACCCACCATGCAGGGCTGGACAGAGGACGGGCACGTTTGCAGACTGCCGTATCGCTTGTGCAGAGAGAGCTGTCGTACAGACGAATTGGCAGAAGGTGGCAATCTGTGACACCGCGCTGGCACCACCTGCCACTAACATGTCCAGAACCATGGCAGCAGAGCTAAAACTCTACAGTTGCCGGGCCGCCCTTGAACCGCCCTTGAACTTTCCTAGCTTGGCACCACAAACATTGAAGATGCCAGTGTGGCGCTTTCGACGCTGAGTTGAGTTCTGCTTGGGTGTCGTCGATTGTTAGCTCTCTCTCATGCAGCGTGCCATCTCTTCAGTGTCACGCGTATCCCGTTGTGGACGTCTTGTATAGGACTGCGCTGCTTGAAACAAACACGGCGGCCTTACATCTTTAAGAAGTCACCAGGCAGGGAGGTTCTCCAGAGACTTTCGAAACAGGGGATCAGTCGGGCACGAGGAGCATGTGGCTTCAGATTCTGCATGTTCCCTTGCCCAGCCTCGGAGGCCACGTCAGA